TTTATAAATAATGTTATATACCTAAAATTAATAGTTTTTTGTAATATTTGATTTTTTAAACAACTGTTAGATTTCAGTGTGGTAAAAAATTGTCAGTGATGCCATTGTTTCTCAAGTTGGACTACTAAAATTTCGTAGGAGAGTTTTATAGGGATGAACAAAAAAATATATGTAAAGATATTTTAGTTAGATACTGTAATATTTTAATTTTTTTAAACAAATGTTAAATTTCAGTGTGCTATAAAATTGTCAGTGATGCCATTGTTTCTCAAGTTGGGCTACTAAAATTTCGTAGGAGAGTTTTATAGGGACGAAGAAAAAAATATATGCAAAGATATTTTAGTTAGCTACTACAGGGTGTTCAAAACATATTTATAAATTTCAATTAGGTAGGTACTTAAAATTAAAAAATCTCAAATTTTTTAATTGGTACACTCTATATTTTTTTTCTAGTAGATTTTACAAAACTCTTCTACTTTTATTAAGTATATCCGATACCTATTTTTTAATATTTCGCGATTTGCTCCATTTTTTTGCTCTTTTTACCCATATTTTTAATAAATTACGCTATGAAATCATAGTTACCATGGCAACCATGATGTTTTAACATAAATGAATTAAAGAAAAGAAATTGAAAAACCAAACCAAACCAAGCCGCAAACAATTAAAAATAGGGGTATGATATACCTTATAAAAGTTGAAGAATTTTGTAAAATCTATCAGAAAAAATCATAATATATAAAATGTGCTATTTAAAAAATTTTAGATTTTTTAATTTTAATTAGTTGTAATTCATAAATATATTTTGATCACCCTATAGTATCTAACTAACATATCTTTACATATATTTTTTTCTTCATCTTATTATTATTAAATACACAGGGTGAGTCTTAAATCAGTACAAATATTTTTAGGGGCAATATATTTCGACCCCAGAAACACGATTATGAGTTTTTCTTGGCGAAAAAACAATTGAAAATTTGGAATTTTTTGAAAAAAATTTGGAAAATTTGTTTAGTTTTTAGTTAAAAAACATAATTTGTTGATAATATGGCAACATAAGTAATATATTAAATTTACAAGAAAGAAATCCAGAAAAAATCCTCAAAATTTTAACAAAAAATAATTTTTTGGGGAATTTTCAAAGTAAAATAACTCGGTTATATTGGCTTTATTTGAAAAACGGCATAGAGAAAATATGTTTCTTTTATAAAGATCTGCCAGCCCTGAAAATATTTGCACTTATTTAAGACTCACCCTGTATTGGCAAAAGAGCCAGTAGATAGTATGCCTTTATAATCATTAAAAATTAAAATTAAGTTGCGAAATGTCAAAAGCAACTCGTACTTTCTTGACAATATGGCGAACGAAACAACTACCACTACTAGAGTACTACTACAATACAATAAAAGATTTTTAAAGGTACCTATAAAACAATCAGTATATTATTCTCAAAATGTATATTTGATATGATTTGAATTTTCAACTCCGATTTATCACCAATTAGATACAAAATACTGTCGCGAACGCAACAGAGCGATAACTGTCACACTCCCAAACGCTCTCTTTAATCATATCCGTGCCGCAGACAAGGCGATATTTATATTTCTCAGCGTATAAGTTTGTCACTTTTTCGCGAAATATCGCCTGCCGAATTACCATCCTTCAATTAACGCTTCGTCGGCTGGAACTGAGCCAGCAACGCGCCACTGACACAGCTATTTAAATCGCAGCGACACGGCCGGCGTGTCTTCCAAAAAGACGTTATTATTTCCGAGGCAGGAATTTTCTGTTTTCCATGTTCAGCCGTACGCTCTACACGTGTATTCTGTCCTGTTAGATGTCACACATTTTCGGTTTTAGTGTTTCTGTAAGTCATGTCACTTTAATAGCGGTTTAAAGCTAGCCTATAGCTTCTTGAAACATGCTAAGGACTACGGAGAAAAGATAGATCTTTTGCTAGTAGAATTATGGATTTATAACTTACGTGAATAAGTAAATCCCATGAAAAAATTGTAAAAAAAATATTAATAAGTAGAATACAGAGATTGTAGATTGTACAGGGAGAGTCAACGATAGAGTAAAGTCCATTATCTCATTTGATTCGAGGTTTACAAAAAAATGTTAAATATAAAAGTTATAGGGAAGATTAAGATACACATTTTAAAATTACATACAGGATGCTTCAAAAAAGTGTGGCGGATATAACGTATGTTTTTTTTAAATGCAACACCCTATTTTTTATTTTATTTTTGGATTCTGCGTAAAATTCCATAAATTTTTCATATATAATGTTATATACCTAAAATTAACAGTTTTTGTATTATTTAAATTTGTTTAAACAAATGTTAAATTGCAGTGTGATAAAAAATTGGCAGTAATGCCGTTTTTTCTGAAGCTGGACAACTAAAATTTGGTAGAAGAATTTTATAGAGATATAGAAAAAGACCTATATATAGAAGATATTTTAGTTAGATGCTACGGAGTGTTCAAAATATATTTATAAATTTCAACGACTTAAAATTAAGAAATTTCAAATTTTTTAAAGGGTACACCCTATATATTATTATTTTTTCTGATTTTATAAAACTCTTCAACTTTTATTAAGTATCTCATATACCTATTTTTAATAGTTTGCTATTTATTCCAATTGTTTCTATTTCTTTAATACAATTACGCTATAGCATCATAGTTACCATGACAAAAAGTAATAATTATCAAAAATTCATATATTATCTGTTAAGCAAGTTAAGAACAAAATTGGAATTTTGTCGTATGGTGGTAATGGTAGAGATAATAGTTACAGATTTTCCTGAAACGAATTAGTCAATGTGACTGATATACAAGAACAAGTCAAGAAAAACATATTTTTTGGTTCAGTACTATATGTGACTATATTATATACTACTTTGCTAAGTACTATAAGAATAGATGTATATTATATCTAGAAAACATCTTCGTGTAATGGGGACGGTTTTGCGGTAGTAGTAATATTGGCTTTACGAAATGAATATTATAATCAGTCAGACATTATAGTCAGTCAATATATCAGTAGTCTTCAACAATTAAGTAATCTAGTATTACCCTAATCTGTGGCTATTCGCCCCGACGGAAAATCCAAGTGTCATTTTTCGTAATATAGAAATAGACCAAGAAATTCACGGCTGCAATTTTAGTTTATTTGAGTAAAGTTAATTAATTTTAACTAATACTAACAATTGTAACTATAATAAATATTAAGCTACTTGTTAAAGATAATAAATAGTTTTGTTTTGTCATGGTAACTATGATTTTATAGCGTAATTGTATTAAAAATAAAATAGAAAGTGTAAAAACTATTACAAATTAACCAAACTACTAAAAATAAGTATATGATATAGGTACTTAATTAAAAAAAATAATTAAAAGTTGAAGAGTTTTGTAAAATGATATGTGATACGTTAGTTCAGAAATGATTAGGAAAAAATTGAAATAAAAATGAAATTTCTACACCCTGTATCTTCGAAACTAAGCATTTTAGGACATTCATTTATACTAACTTTTTTACCTATTTTTATCTGCAGAATATGCTGCCGAAGTTTCCGGAATACAAATCGGACCACCCTGTATATTAATATAGAATTATTTTTTTATTAAAATTTCTTTCTTGTACGTTTTAATGACGCCCTTCTGCCCTTTTATAATATTCTGATACTCTAACCGCATCAGCATCCAAGAAACGTGTCTGCTCCTCCCTCCTGTCAGTTCGCCTTTCGTATACGAACTTTCTCTATTTCCGGCCCGCAGAGGGTCCTAAATTACGACAAATATTTGGCGTTTCGGTGTGACACCTCTCATAAATAACTCGGTCCCGCCAGCGGAATGTTAGACACGCATACACGTTGTTTCGGTGGCGACTCGTTAGCGGCGGCACTGCGGCCGCAACGACAGACACGTCCATGTTACCCTCCTTTTATTATTATCCTTTTTATTGTACAAAATTTAGACTCGTTTTAGTTTTGTACTAATTTTAGTACATTTTCTTAAACTAAGAAAATATATTTTTTCGTTTACAGTTAGTATTTTTTAATGGCAAGATCATATTTTATAATGTTATTTATAATAATTTTTGGTGTTTTTATTTTGTACTAATTTTAGTACATTTCCTTTAACCAAGAAAATATATATTTTTGCTTATATTTAGTATTTTTTAAAGGCAACGTCATATTTTATAATATTTATAATAATTTTTGTTGTTTTTATTTTGTACTAATTTAAGTACATTTTCTTGAATCAAGAAAATATATTTTTGTTTATATTTAGTATTTTTTATAATGGCTACATCATATTTTATAATAATTTTTGTTGTTTTTATTTTGTACTAATTTTAGTACATTTTTGTATTTGAACATTTTTATATTTTTGTTAATATACAGCCTATTTCCATGTGAATCGGAAGAATAGTACCTTTTTTAATTATTATCTATTACCTATCTATTATCTATTGGTACTAAATTTAGATGCGTTTTCGGGTTTGTACTAGTTTTAGCACATTTTTTCTAAAAAATTATCGGTTTTTGATAATATAATTTTTACTTAATATAGCCACGTCATATTTCATAATATTTATAATAATCTTTGTTTTTATTTATTTCGTACTATATTTATTGTAATTTTTAATATACACAAAACGTCTTAATATTTTTGTTAGTAATCTTGCCTAATCTCGCCTCTGTTTTTTTTATAGACTTCGCAATAAAGTTTTTATTATTATTATTATCTTTCTTTGTACTAAATTTAGATGTCTTTTCGGTTTTGTACTAATTTTAGTACATTTTTAAACTATGAAAATATCCGTTTTTGATATTATTTTTTTTTCAATAACAACATAAAATTTTATATTGTACTAATATTAGTACTTTTTTATAAAATTTCCAAAATTGTTTTTTTTTTGTTAATAACACATAATTTTTTAATTAATATCACATTTTCTAAACGGGTATGCCAAAGTTACCACTTACCAACTGGTTCTGGTAGGCCGTCACCGCCGTGAAGATAGTTTCGGGAAAAATAAACGTTTTGTACTCTTCGTTTTCTAGATCAGTCACGTTTCCGGAACTACCCTCGGGCCGTTTGACTAGGTGGATCCTCGGCTGGTACTTGTGCATCGAGTTCAAGACCAACTGAAAAGAAAATTAAAAGTCTATTACCAATAGCTGAAGAAGTATGATTCTTGAGTTGGGGTGTATAAATTCGTTATTAAATAACATTACTATCATCAAAAGAATATTATATTAAAACCGAATTATAACGAGAAAACTTTCCTGGACTGGGTCCTTTTGAACTGGATGGCATGTGTCCATCAGCAGTTTACCATTAGCTGAAAAAATATGATTCTTGAGTTGGGGGGTATAAATTCGTTATTAAATAACATTATTATCATCAAAAGAATATATTAAAACCGAATTATAAGGAGAAAACTTCCCTGGACTGGGTCCTTTTGAACTGGATGGCATGTGTCCATCAGCAGTTTACCATTAGCTGAAGAAGTATGATTCTTGAGTTGGGGGGTATAAATTCATTTTTAAATAACATTATTATCATCAAAATAATATATTAAAACCGAATTATAACGAGAAAACTTTCCTGGACTGGGTCCTGTTGAACTGGATGGCATGTGTCCATCAGCAGTTTACCATTAGCTGAAGAAGTATGATTCTTGAGTTGGGGGGTATAAATTCATTTTTAAATAACATTATTATCATTAAAAGAATATATTAAAACCGAATTATAACGAGAAAACTTTCCTGGACTGGGTTCTTTTGAACTGGATGGCATGTGTCCATCAGCAGTTTACCATTAGCTGAAGAAGTATGATTCTTGAGTTGGGGGGTATAAATTCATTATTAAATAACATTATTATCATCAAAAGAATATATTAAAACCAAATTATAACGAGAAAACTTTCCTGAACTGGGTCCTTTCGAACTGGATGGCATGTGTCCATCAACAGTTTACCATTAGCTGAAGAAGTATGATTCTTGAGTTGGGGGTATAAATGATGGTGTTAAATTAATTAAATTTAAAGTTTCTATCAACCATAGAAATTTTTCGTTATAAAACTAAAAAACACTTACATGTCCATGTTTATCCATTTCGTTATTCGTCAGCTTGACTTTCTCAAAAGACACCACTTGCTTCCTGAGCTGCTCACCATTGTAAGGTGAGTCAGGGTGAGCATATATCCTTCTAGGAGCAGGAGGATCTGCCTTTCCAGCAACCAACCACGAAGACCTGTGGTAGGCGTACCTGTATCTTTTGTTATCTACCGGTACTATGTCTAGCAGAACTGCGTACTTTTGGTCAGATCTGATACCACCAAAAGATATCCGAACTGTAGGAAACATTCTCCTGAAAATAAAAGAGAAAAATGTTATTTATTTGATTGAAAATATATACTGTATGATCGAAAAAACGGCGTTTTAGAGATATTTGGAATATTTGGCGAAGGGAAATTTGAGGAGAATAGGTTATGTAAATCAAACACCAAATTTGTAAATAGCCCTACTTATTTTATTAAATGAAATGAAAGGAGTGCCGTACTCTCTCTGGAATTCACAAGTGGAAGCATATCAAGTTTCTGAAAAAACGCTTAAACACGTATATTTTATTTTGTTTTTTTACATATTTTCAGATTTTTTTAAAAATGTATACAGGGTGTTTCGAAAAATCTGGTCATGGATTAATCACGATCCTGCTTAAAGCGCAATTACAAATCACCATTACAAATGATTAATTCGACGCGAACAAAGTCGCGGGTACACGCTAGTTATTTATATATACAGAGTGTCTTAAAACTAAATCTTTTGGATTTAATAAAATATGTTTATTTTAAATACGCTAGTCAAAAGCGCCATTAAGAAAATAAAGAAGAGTACAGGCCAAGTAAATGACGTCTTGTAATATTCCCAGCCGTCTTTGACGCTGTTTTTTTTCGATCGTATGGTGCTTTAATCGGTATAACAGTTTTTAAATGCACTATAATATTTGATAAATTTTATTTATGTAAGTAAAAAACCATGTATTTTTTTAACTCAGAGTTGTGAATAATAAATTAACAAAACAGTATATCTTTCGTGATGGATAGGATTTACGATTTCAGTAGACGCTCACTAAACAACTTAATTGAAATTACTATCTAACGCCGCACTTCATTTGCCCACATACATCCTATAGATAATTGCTAAATACATAAATATATTATTTAGCAGCCAGCGAGAGTCTAATGGTGTAATATATAAATTATACACCTTCTAAATTCAATAAGTCGTTAACGTCGTGTAAATAATAACTGTAATGAATTAATATCTTAATTAAATAACTACATAACCACATTATAATTTATTATTATCGGCAGGTTAGTGGGGAATAAAAATATAAATACAGGTGAACTTTTGTAAGGCTTATGGCGTGGTGGGGTCCGACGGACCCCAATTTTTTTTCAGTTTAAAATACATGATGAAGAGATTTTATAAAAAGCTTGTTCTTTTAACACTGTTTACAATATATTCAAACTTGTGAACAAACATTTTCATTAATTTTCAACAAATCAATAAGAACGGACACAAAAATAAAGTAAAACCCATTTTTTAGGAATTTTTGACACCAGAAATATAACTTGGCTAAGAAACACATTGAAATTAAAAACATATATATTTTATGATTTTACCGTATTATTAAAAGTACAAACAACTGAAATGTGAAGCTAAAGTAATAAATATAAATTATTTTCAACAAAACTGCAAACCTTGAATGTACATAACTTTTTCAAATACAGTTCATGCTAATATAGGATCTGCATTTGCCGCACATGGATCGTGCGCATTTGATTCATGAGATTTTTGTTTTTTGTCATTTCTTCATTGACATATGGTTGCCATATACCACATCTCTTTCTTTTCTGGTATTGATTATTCAATTTTCTCTCTTCTATAAGCAAGAGATTCAGAATCGGAGTTATGGTTGCTCTTCGTAGTAAAATCAATGTCTCGATGGTCTTCATCTCACTTAAGCCTCTTTAAGTTCATCAAACCACTTAATTAACGCTTGCTCAAAATTAGCGTGCCAGTGAGGCACATTTGTTAGACTACCCACCATCCTAATAATGTAACATTCTTGGCGTGGTGGTGCCACACAGACCCCAATGAAACTTTAGCTCCTGCTGGTAGGAACAATACTTGATAAAATCAAGTGCGCCTTTAACAGTTGCTAATTGGTACCTTAATTAAACGTAAATGGCGCGGCGAGGCCTAATTCTTAAACGTAAACATTTTACAGAGGTTTAAATAGTGCTTGGGGTACGCTGGACCCCACCACGCCAGTTGAGGGTTAAATGTTTTATTTGTTAAGAATCTATTTTACTAGTGCGAAAAAATAGCAAAATAATTCGGCATTTAACGTTTTATGTAAAATTGGCTAGGTATTTTTACATAAATGAAAAAAGAAATTGAAGATAAAGCATTATACTACACACACCGGAAAAATCTAGGGATATCATTTTATTAAAGTTAAAAATAAATGTTTTGAATAAACAACCACATATTTGTGGCCGATTCTTTCTACTTCGATTGAAACGAAGTAGTCACACTAGTTATTTCTAAATTTGGAATATTTGCAGAAGTGTTGAAAGTGTGAAATTGCATTTTTTGTCAAATGTATAAAAGCACCTAGCATCAATTGTTCGAATTTAACCTGTACCGGCTATGATTTTATGATAACTGGCCAGAATTCATTCAAATAACTCTGTTTAGTATTAAACGACATTATGGAGCGTAGACATCTTAACAGAGACGAAATGCTAAGGGCCATGGGTATGCTCGAAGCTGGAATGCGCCAAATCGACGTAGCTAGAGCATTAAATACAACGCAAAGTGTAATATCGCGATTAAGTGGACGCTACCGTGAAAGTGGTGATGTTGCTGAAAGGCACACAATGCGACATCGCATTACTACCCCTCAGCAAGATCATTTTTTACAATTAAATGCTCGACGCCGACCGACTCTTAAGCACCAGAGCTTAGTTTAATTCTCCAGGAAACACATAATGTAACCGTTAGTCCTGACACTGTTCGCAATAGATTAAGAGAGGCCAACTTAAGAAGCAGACGCCCCTGGAGAGCTCAACCCTTAACGAGAGGAAATCGAGAGGTACGATATTTGTGGGCTCAAGATCATGTTCAGTGGTCGAATGAACAATGGGCCAATGTTCTCTTCACGGATGAGTCACGCTTTGGAATTCATCCGGATTCGAGAAGGCTTAGGGTATGGAGAGAACCGGGAAATCTTATTCGGTTGGATCATGTTCAGGAAGTGCACCCTTATCAAGGTGGAACAGTTATGGTCTGGGGAGGAGTCAAGTTAGGCCGAAAAACCGATCTCGTTTTTCTTTAAAGGTTTCTAACAGGAATCACATATCGTGATTTAATTCTTGAGCCTGTCGTGTTACCACATGCCAATGATTTTGGGAGAAACTTGGGATGACAATGCACGGCCTTATATAGCCAGAGTGGTAAGTGAGTTTATCAATGCTCATCGATTAAACATCTTACCCTGGCCGGCACAATCTCTTGACCTCAACCCCATGGAGCACGTATGGGACGCGGTCCAAAAAAGAATTTTGAGAATGGGTATGCCTCGTGAAACTCGTAGGGATCTGAGAGCAGCGTGGCAGGCTGTACCTCAAGAAGAGATCGACAACCTGATCAGGAGCATGGAGAGACGATGTAGGCCTGTAATGAACAGTAGAGGAGGTTATACCCTTTATTATGTAAAAATGGTTTTATCTTTTTTTTTTAATTCACAGTTTAGAATAAACAAAAATGTGTGTATTTTTATGAGTTCAATAAACATCAAGGTAAATTTGAAAAATTCGGTAAATTTCGCATTTTTATTTCCAATACGTCCTGTAAACTATTTGTTTATTTTAATTTTATTATATCAGAAATGCAAATAATAAAATTACTGACGATGGCTGGATAAAATTGTAATATACCTAGACTTTTCCGGTGTGTGTATATCCGTATTCTTTCACATTTTTAGACGACTTCTTTATTTTTAAGATTCTGACGGTCAAACATCAACAAAATATTCCTTATGTTTGGACTAAATTTCCTCGAAAATAAAGACATAATTTAAAATTCCGTTACAATACGGAAATAGATTGAAGTTTTGTGATTACAGTGATATATAATTTATATGGTTTTGTAACAAATTGCTCGCTGTTTTATGGCAAATACTGAAGCTCTGCAAACCTTAATCAAGCCTTAATCAAAGCACGTGTGTTTAGAATTTTGGGTGCGGCTTAACACGACAGGATCGGGCTAAGCCTTAGGCAGATTTTTGAAATATAATATATATTTTCTTCGGCCACACACCCGCTTTACACGACCCCCGAGAGCAACCCGAACAGTACAGCGCAATAGACTCTTTATAAGCTTAGGTATATGGTTTTGGTTCAAAAAAAACATCGATAAAATTAAAATCATGTGCAGTCCCCGGGCAAATCATAATAGTGCTACAAAAATCGGAGAAGAACTATTGGAATATGTAGCGGAATTCAATTATCTCGGCAGTTTGATTTCGGAAAAGGCCAATATCGACTCTAAAACTGGGCAGCACAGAATTAGCAGCGCATCAAGAGCATCCTGGATATTAAAAGACAGTGTTTTCTACAATCATGACTTGAGCACAAAAACGAAACTTGCAGTGTACCGAGCAATAATAATTCCCACAATGTTATGTGGAAGCGAAACCTTCTTCTTCGGGTTCCATCTCCTAATGGAGGTTGGAAATCATCATGGCAATTCTAACTTTTGTTAACGGCTGTTCTGAATAACTGGTTTGAAGTCATTCCAAACCATTCCCCCAAATTCTTGAGCCATGATGTTCTTCTTCTTCCTTGGCTCCTTCTGCCCTTTATCTTTCCTTCTATTATGTTCTGCAGCAGGGCATATTTAGGTCCTCTCATTATATGTCCAAAGTACTCAAGTTTTCTCTTTTTAAGGGTGTTAATCACCTCTTAATCCTCAGCATTTGCCGATAACACTATCTTTCGAAAGCCTCAAGCTTCTCCATTTCGGCCTTTTTAAGTGTCCAAGCCTCTGAACCATAGAGTAGAGTTGCAAATAAAAAAACCCCTTAGCATTCTTAATCTAAGCTTTAAGTTGATGTCTCCACTGCACAGACATTTTTTGAGTTTTACAAATGACGCTCTGGCTATTTCTATTCGAGCTTTTATTTCTGCTCATTGATGCAAGTTTTCTGTCAACCAACTGCGAAACCTGTCAAGAATCAAATGGTACCACTATGTCTCAAACGTATCAGTCCTTGAAAAATGCTAGGCGAGGGCATTG